GTGAGGATGGAAATTAGGGTGGTCACCCAGGAGGAACTATTAAGCCAAGACTTGTACCATCCCTGTTTGGCTTCCCTTTCTTTTTTACATTTTTAAGTCCTGAAATCTGGAGCCTGTATGCACAATGGAGTTTCCAATCTGTCCCCAGTACAGTAGCCAGCCCCTGACTTACCTGAGAAATGAAAGCAGGCCCATTGTCTGACCTAATAAAGTAGGAAAACCATACCTGGGAAAGATATCTTCTAGGATCTTCTTTGCAACCACATTGGCAGTTTCATGTCTAACAAGGAATGCCTCTGCCCATCCGGAAAAGGTGTGTACAAAAACTAGAAGATATTTACCTGGTTTGATGTCAGTGAACTCTATCTCCCAATATGTACCTGGCTGGCTTTGTTTCCCTGGGTTGGAAGGACGAGATGACATTGACCAGGCTGCAGTCGTGACAAGTTGTCACTATTTGTTCGATGGTTTGATTTCTGTTTTGGATCTTGATTTTTGCTTCTCGAAGTAGGTCCTGCATGTGCTGGATCCTCAAGTGTGAGGACCGGGGTATCTTTTTAAGGATAGCATGGCCTAGTTTCTTTGGAAGTATAGCTCGGGCATCGGCTGTGTACCACCAGTCCTTTTACGTCTGGGTTCCTGGGAGGCGATGTATCCAGGCCAGATCTTCTGGGGTATAATTAGGGACGTCTGGCTCCTGGGTCCACCATGACAGTTAAGGCTGCTTATTTGGCTGCTTGATCTGCCAGGTTGTTCCCTAGTTGCCTGTGCATTTTTGGTGGCTGGGACAGTGGATGATGGCCAATTTAGCAGGTTTCTAAGGGGTCTGTAAAAGTTCTGGAATCTCCTGTTTGTTTTTGATTATTTTTCCCTGTGTGGTTAAGAGTCCTCTTTCCTTGTAAATAGCTCCATATACATGAGCTGTAGAAAATGCATAGCAACTGTCTGTATAGACATTAAGTCTCTTTCCTGAATGGAGGTCTACTGCCTTGGTTAGAGCAAATAATCCTGTCCTTTGAGCCGAGGTCCCCAAGGGGAGCAGTTCTGCCCAGACCACTTAAGTAGTGGTTGTGACTGCTGCCCCTGAATACCACTGTCCTCAAATGAAGCTGCTGCAATCCATGAACCAGGTTTCCTCTGCGTCTAGCAGTGGAGTGTCTCTCAGGTTCGGGCAGAAGTTGTGCAACAGCCAGGTCTCCAGGCAGTTGTAGATGAGAGCTTCCAGGTCCGGGTCCGGTAGTAGTGTTGCTGGATTTAGGGCAGAGGGCACCTGAGAGATGATTCTCGAAGGATTTAAGAGCAGGGTTTAGTAGTGCACTATACGGGCATTGCTTAGCCAGCGGTTGGGAGGCTGTTTGAGCACCACTTCTAATGCATGAGGCCCAGCCACAGTCAGATCTGTCCCAATGTTAATTTGTCTGCATCTCTTATTAGAAGGGCAGTTGCAGCAATCATGCGTGGGCAGGGTGACCAGCCAGCCACCATGGGATCTAACTTTTTTGACATGTAGGCTACTGGGCCTAAGCTTTGATTCAGGACCCCTTTTGCCATTCCATTATGCTAATCTATGAACCATGTGAAGGGCTTGGTTACATCTGGCAGACTTAAGGCTGGGGTCTCTAGCAAGTGTCTTTTTAGGTCCTCAAAGGCTTTTTGGTGTGTCTCAGTCCTGTAAAAATCTTTGGTTTCTTTAGTGATCTCGTATAGGGGGCTTGACTAGTTCTGCAAACCCTGGAATCCATAGGCGGCAAAAGCCAGCTGTTCCCAAGAACTCTCTCACTTGCCTGGGGTAGCTCAGTGTCAGAATTTTTAACACAGTGAGGCCAGTGAAGTGGCAGCAGAGCCAGGCCAGGTGGGCATAGGTAGTGTATATGCGTCACACTGCATTTGTGGCCTTGGCCCACAGAAGACTCCCAGGACATTTAGACCCCAAAGAGGATTAGGCCTAGGGCTTCTTCCCATCCTTCCACACTAAACTAATGATATTCCACCTCAAGGAAGTTTCGGGATTCCAAACTGATCCTAGGAACATTTTGATCTTGTCATGCCCCTCTGGCAATTATCTGTGTCCCCAGACACATAATTAAGCTTCTCTGCATTCTGCTTTGCCCACTCGGTAGTCCAGTCCTGTTTTCCAGGTATTTAGGTGGCTGCAGTCAAAGGGCAGGATTCAAGGGCTACAGTGTGAGTTCTAGGCCAGCCTAGGCAACTGAGACAGATTCTGTCTCAAAACACACATAACGATTTAACAAGCGTTTTCATTAGTTTGCAATTTTTGTTTGTTTTTGGGACAGGAGCTGTCGAGCGCTATCACCTTGCCTGCAAGAACAACGCTCAACAACAGGATTCTTCTGCAGCTATGTTTATTGCCCGGCTCATTACAGCAAGTTGAGGGAAGACCCCAAAGGAGGAAAAAGGCACTGCTTATATATGCTTTAGGGAGTCGTGTCCTAAACTGACAGGTGCAGCCCACAACGCTCGAAACTGTCACCCCATGACGTGGATTGCGCATGCGCATTGTCAAAAACAACTGCGCCTTGCTGGCTTATGGACAGGAAACCGGCGCCATCTTCGGGAATGGCACCGGTGGCTCTCTACATCTCCCCTTTTTTTGTTTTATAAACGCAACAGGCAAGGGTAGTGGTCTGATCTCCAGTAACGAGATGGACATTGTAATGACCCTGAATCCTGGTAGTCAGCCAAGTCAGTGCCATACCTGTCTGGCATCTTTTCCCTGAAGGTGGGGCCTTGGATACCAACCCATATGCAACCAGACTTGCCCTTCTCGGAGCTGCTCATGGCCAGAGTCAACCCGGAGTGCAGTGCTAAGCCAAACAACCTGAGCGTGAAGAATTTATTACAGTAGGCTAAACTAAAGAAGCACCTGTCTGCATGCAATGGGAAAAAACCCCGCAGAGCGTTAGGGCTGTTTCTGGTAAAAAAAAAAAAAATGGACACCCTAACCTGGTGCAATGTCATAGAAGACTCAGGGTGCAAGGGCTGTCCTATTGGACAATTAATGTCCATTTTTTAACATGCTTAGCCACACAGTGGGAGAGGAGCCTATCTCCATAGCAGCTAGGGCTTGAGCGATAACCACTTTGTCATGTGTCTGTTGAGCATGTAGCTTACACCAACCAGAGCAGGAGCACCACCCTACCACATAACAGCAGGCCAAACCCCATTACACCCGCCCACTCCTTAAAATGGGAAAAAGCGGTGGAGATCCAGGAAAACGATCCTTCTGATAGAGAGGTGTCCACACCGGTGGAATTCACATGGACGATGGCCATTCGGAGTTGGTCCATCAGGCTATCAAATTCTCCTGTCCATTCACCTAAAAGATACTGAAAAAGTTGTTTAGAAAGGTTTGCAGCTCTTGTATAATTTTCATATTGTACACTGGTGACACATAAACTGGAATATTTCCATTGACAGCCCAGTTGGGCTAGCTGCCAGAGTGTGTCAATTTGTTCCTGCAATGAATGTTCTGATTGGGTTATTGGCCATTTTGAAGGCCACCGGGAGGTGGCAATGATGCTTTTATCAGCTCCTGTGTCCAAAATTCCCTGAAAATTCTTTCCTTCTATATTTAATGTTAATATTGGTCTGGTATCAAGATCAACTGCAAGATAAGCAGAATCAAATTTATCTGAGTGGCCAAATCCTTCTGCCCCTCTGTTTCGTTTAATGGCCCCAAAATCCTCATGACAACTAGGAAGAATAAGTAACTGTGCTATGCGATCACCTGCGGAGATGGGAAAATCCCGCATGGCGATGAGCACATGATCTTGAGTTGTCCCTCATAATCTTGATCTATAACTCCAGGATGGACAATTAAACCTTTTAGGGTGGTAGATGACCTTCCTAGTAATAGTCCTACTGTGTTTTTTGGCAGAGAGCCTGAAAAATCAGAAGGAACAGGTTGTACACCCATTTGGGGGGGTCAAGACAATTCTAGTGGTGGCACAGAGGTCCAATCCTGCAGAACCTGCAGTGGCTCTCCGTGGGGCTTCCTCCTTTCTAGGCTCAGGGGGGAGCTCGTTAACCCATATATTTGAGGGCCCTGAGGGCGGGGGGGGGGGGCCAGGGCGTTTTTTGGCTCAGGCAATGGTTTACCATTAACGTCTTTGACTGACTTACATTCATTTGCCCAGTGTTTGCCTTTTTTACATCGGGGACAGATTCCTGGCATCCTCTTAGGTCCTGACATGCACTCCCTACAATTCTTTTGTATATGTCCCATTTTGCCACATTGAAAACAAGTCTTGTTCTTATCTGCCATATTGCCCTTTCTTTGTCCTTGTAAAATGGTGGCCGCCAGCCCTGCATTGGTCAAAGGACCTCCTATTTCTCTACAAGCCTTAAGCCAAGCTTGTAAGCCTTTTCCTTTCCAAGGAGTTATGGCTTGTCTACATTCCTTGGTGCATTGTTCATAAACTAGTTGTTCTATTAAGGGCATAGCCTGTTCTTGATCTCCAAAAATCCTTCCTGCAGCCTCCATCATACACGCTACAAAGTCTGAAAATGGTTCATTTGGTCCCTGAATGACTTTTGTAAGGTTCCCTGATACTTCCCCTCTATTAGGTAGTGCCTTCCAGGCCTTAACAGTACATGTGTTAATCTGAACATAGACCTCTAAAGGATACACTGTCTGATTATTTGTCCATTGTCCTTGTCCAGTGAGCATTTCAAATGTCCAAGCGGGCTGCCCTGCTGCCGCGTTAGCGCAGGCTTGTGATTGACTCAAATCATGCCGTATGGCCTTCCACTCTAAGTATTGTCCCATAGTGAGACAAGCCTTCACAGAACATCCAGTCCGAGGGAGTCATGGCCACCGCGGACAGTCTATTTGCGACAGTGTAGTTCACGCTGATACCATAAGTGCGAACAGACTCTACCAATTCTTTAACCTGTTTATGCTCAAGAGGGTGATGGGCACGATTCCCATCTTCCTCGAACACAGGAAACATCCGGGTTATCTCATGTCTGGTTTCAGGTCAAAAGGAGTATTTACATTCCTTCTCTGCATAAGGAGAAGGCGCAGTAGGGACTCGTGCAGCCTCCTCCTCCAAATCTTCCTCCTCAGAGGGCGATAGTTCCTCTTCCGAGGGGTGACTGGAAAGCTCTAAAGCCTTCAATTCCTCTAAAGGATAAAGATGTTTTTTCTTTCCTCTGCGAGATGGATCCGTCTCGTGAAGCCCTTTCACTTTCTCTTTATTATGTTTTTTTCTTTTTACGTGCACCCATCTTTTCTTCATGTTCTGCTTCTGACATGCTTTCTTGAAAATCTGATAATGGTCTAGTGCCTGCTTTTAGCTGCCCATCATGTGCTTCCTCAAAACAAAACAAATACAGTAAAAACAAGCAGGCAACCAAACGCACAATAATCAACCCTTCAATGGCAAGATCAAGCCCAAACAGTAGCATGACTATCAGAACTCACCTTATCTGTTACCTTTGTGCCACAGTTCTGAATCCTCTCCAGTCTCCTGAAGGGTCCCCCGTGTGCCGTTGATGTCAGGTTCCCAGGTTCGGCCCCACTTGTCGAGTGCTATCGCCTTGCCTGCAAGAACGATGCTCAACAACAGGATTCTTCTGCAGCTATGTTTATTGCCCGGCTCATTACAGCAAGTTGAGGGAAGACCCCAAAGGAGGAAAAAGGCACTGCTTATATATGCTTTAGGGAGTCATGTCCTAAACTGACAGGTGCAGCCCACAACGCTCGAAACTGTCACCCCATGACGTGGATTGCGCATGCGCATTGTCAAAAACAACTGCGCCTTGCTGGCTTATGGACAGGAAACCGGCGCCATCTTCGGGAATGGCACCGGTGGCTCTCTACAAGGGGCTCAGTGTAGACTGCTTATGAACAACTCAACTACATGAATGTTTTCATATCAGATGGCTCTCATTGAATAGAATGCTTGCTCAGCATACACAAGGCCTCTGCAGAAACAAGAGCATGGTAGTGAAACATGTCACCCCAGTAATTGGAGGTAAAAGCAGAAAGGTCATGAGTTTAAGATCAGCCTGAACTTCATGAGCCTATTTTAAAAATAAAACCCCAAAACAATGACTAACAAAAAATATCAGGACTCAGTGGATGTTATGGCATGGCGCAGCAGGTAAAGATGCTTGCAGTCAAGGCTGACAGATATGATTTGATTCTTAGGACCCAAATGATCAAAAGGGAGGACTGGGTCCTACAGTCTGTCTTTTGGTTTCAAACTATACTATGCATGTGCACAAAGACAATAATTAATTAAATCTTAAAAGAAAAAGTGAGGCCAGATTACAAAAGGCCAGGAGGGGGTCAGAGAGTTGTGTGACTCTGTTGTCAAGACAGATCCAAGTTATACTTTAAAGACACTGGGCATGGTGGTAAACTTTACATCCCAGCACCCAGGAGGCAGAAGCAGGCTCTCAATTGACCATACCTCCAACTCCAATGCCGCTGGCCTCCCCAGGTACCTGCACTCGTGTGCACAACCCCATATGTGAAGACACATACCTACACAGTTAAAAATAATAAAAGTCTAAAAAAAAAAGAAGGAAAGAAAAGAAAAAGAAACAGTAATAAGAGATGGTTTAGCAGTTTAGTACCTGGCATATATTGCACAGCAACCATGGCTGCATGACACAGTGCTAGTGTTTCAACATCCCAGATCTTAATTCTCCAGCTTCCTTTTACTTTCATTTTTAATAGTTCTCACTGTTTAGGTGGAACCCCCCCCTCAGCCCCATCTCTCTCACCAATACCTGCAAGTTCCTGAGAAAAGAGTACCACGCCCAACCCATAGGGGACTGATGGGGGATGTCCTTCTGTAAGTTTCTCTTATTGGCTGATGAATAAAACTCTGACTGGCCGGGCAGCATAGATGGGGCTGAGATGAGGAGAAGGTTGGGGAAAGGAAGGCAGAGGAGAAGATGCCATGTAACTACCAAAGGAGTAACAAGTCCAGACATTCGCCAGTAAGTCAAGACCATGTGAAAATACACAGATTAGTAGTTATGGGTTAATAATTAAGAGAGAGCTAGCCAATAAGAAGCCCATGCCATCAGCCAACAGTTTTATAGTTAATATAGCATCAGTTATTTTATTTGGGGCTGAAGTGGCAGTGGGACCAGGTGGGACAAGATACTCCAGCAACAGGGAGCCCTCCAGATACAACAGCCCTTGCACCATCTTTAAGAACACCAACCAGTTAAGAACTGTCAGGTTGACTTCACCTACATGCCCACTAATAAAAAACTCCATTATCTCCTAACTTGTTAACACTTTTATAGGATGGATAGATAAAGGCATTTCCCACCAGCAGATGTTTCAGATAATCCTGAAGAACATGTCATCCCTCAATATGGTATGTCATCTCCCCAAACTCCTGGGACTTCGGTGTTGGTACCACCTCTCCAGGCTCAAGCAGGCACCTATCCAGTAACTGGGACCTGTCTTTCCAAGATGTCCCAATGAAGGGCATATCTGCTCTCATATCTTGTTCATTCATCTTTGTCCCTTTTGTACAACCAGGGAACTTCCCCATTCCATTATTCTTGGTAGTCTTCCCTCTTCCCATGGCTAGCCCCATTCATAGGGCCAGTATAATAATCTATTTTTTTTTCCTAGCAACCTACCTTTTCTGCCTCCTGAAGTAACAGATGCCTGAGGTCTCCAGGATGGCAATTGACCAAAAGCTTCTTGACCCATACTTCCTACTGAGTGTGAGCCCATGCAACCCAACTCCCCATATCATCCCAGGCATGCAGGAAGTAGTCAGACTTGACCCAGCACCCACATACCCAAAGGGTCTGGGATGTCTAGGTGGAAACTATACCTCAGCTCCCACTCCTCTCATTCCAGACACCACCTTAAGAAAGCCTGCCAAGGGTCAGCTCCTCCCCTGGAGCTGCTCAAGATCATGCATGCCTACAGGGTATTTAAGACCTGGTAGCTAGACCTGCCACATGATTCCTCTCCTGCCTTTCTGAGAGTCACCCAGAAATTCTCTGCTGTGCCTTGCTGTTTAAGTCTGGTCTTAATAAGTTGGTTTAATTTGGCTTATTGTATTAGTAAAGGATACCAGATAACTGGGGACCCAATATTTATCACACACTATATGTTATGACATTTCCTTATGCCTTTTCCTGTGAGAAATTCTTTTCAGGTTCCAGTGGAGAATAGAGATGTATACAATGGCAGTTGCTTTAATAAAAATATTTAGGTAAAAGTCCCCACCACCATGGAAACACATAGAATGATAAACATGCCTACTCCCACACAAGAATCCCCATTGTGTCTTCCTGATCACACCAAGAACAAAGATCTTAAAGATTTACTGACTAGACACACCTGATCCCAATGATGAAAGCACACTATGGAAGGAAACAATGGGCTCACATCCAGACACACATTTAGATACTTGCAAAATTTAACACTTTTTTGCCTCAGGAAAAATGTTGTAATGAGTTTGATGGCTGCTTTCATCCTGTAATCATTAAGTCTACTTTCAATCTTGCTTGAGTCTAAACTAATGTTCAGTTAGAGTATAAAAAGTATAGTCTTTTTTCAATAGAGCAGCAGCTATTTCATTCACTCTCAGATATGGCAGGCTCCTTCCTTTGCTAACACCTGATCTCCTCTTTGGGATCTGAACCCCTAGATTCTGGACTCCAGCAAGTACCTCTAGTGGAAAACAGTTCAGTTTCCAGCACCCACATGGCAGCTCATATCTGAAATTACCACATTGATTACATCCATATTGTACTGACCAGTATGAATTCGTTTGTGACTAAGAAGATGACTCTTGGTTGCAAAGGCTTTCCCACACTGATTACATTCATAAGGTTTCTCCCCAGTATGAATTCTTTCATGGCTGAGAAGATACTTCTTCAGTGCAAAGGATTTAGCACACTGATTGCATTCATAAGGTCTCTCTCCAGAATGATTTCTTTCATGACCGAGAAGATTCTTCTTTGCTGCAAAGGCTTTACCACATTGATTACATTCATAGGGTTTCTTATCAGTATGAATTATTTCATGCCTGTGAAGACTACTCTTCCTTGCAAAGGCTTTACCACATTGATTACATTCATAGGGTTTCTCTCCAGTATGAATTCTTTCATGACTTTGAAGACTACTCTTCTGTGCAAACATTTTTCCACATTGATTACATCCATAAGGTTTCTCTCCACTATGACTTCTTTCATGACTGTGAAGATTACACTTCTGTGCAAAGGCTTTCCCACATTCATTACATTCATAGGGTTTCTCTCCACTATGATTTCTTTCATGACCGAGAAGATGACTCTTCTGTGCAAAGGCTTTACCACATTGATTACATCCATAGGGTTTCTCTCCAGTATGAATCCTTTCATGACTAAGAAGATTACTCTTCCTTGCAAAGGCTTTACCACATTGATTACATGCATAAGGTTTCTCTCCAGTATGAATTCTTTCATGACTGAGAAGCTTATACTTCTCTACAAAGGCTTTACCACATTGATTACATGCATAGGGTTTCTCTCCAGTATGACTTCTTTGATGACAGAGAAGATTTTTCTTCAGTGAAAAGGCTTTACCACATTGATTACATTCATAGGGTTTCTCTCCAGTATGACTTCTTAGATGAGTGAGAAGATGACTTTTATGTGCAAAGGCTTTACCACAGTGATTACATTCATAGGGTTTCTCTCCAGTATGACTTATATTATATATTTGAAGATAAGTGGGACATGCCAAGGCTTTATAACTTTGATTATACTCATAGGTTTTTACTTCTAAATGAGTTCTTTGGTGTACTTTCAGGGAGGAATCAGATCTAAAGGCTTTATCACACTGGTTACATATAGAGAGATCCTCTTCCTTATTGGTGGTGTTGTGTATTTGAAGATGCCCGTAATGGCTAAAGCCTTTAGTAGATAGCTCGCACTTACTATTTTCTCTGTCCACACGAGGCTTTTCACATCTTTGAAGAAAACTTGAAGAACTCAGAGTCTGACCACACTGATTGCATTCATAACATTTTCTTATACTATGAGCAATACCACATGTGCACACTGAGCCAGGACAGAGAGATGAATTTCCACATTCCTGGCACTCACAAGGTTTTTCACCAATGAGAGTTTCTTGAGGTATTCCCATGGAAGTTGGAATACCAATTACTTGTAAACTTGTTTCACAGTTGTCATGTCTTTTCATAGTGAGGACTACTACAGATCTCCCAGTTTTTCTGAGAGAGACAGAAGTACAATGCTTCTTTCCATTTCCCTTATGCTCACAGGGCTTGTATTCAGAGTGACAGATGACATACCTGGTAAAGGAAGATAACAAAAAGTTTTCACACTGCATTACATAGTCTACATTCTGTGTCTCAAACAGATGTGGTATAGGGATTCTGGTTTCTACACCATGCTGTCTGTCGTAAATGCTCCTCTCAGAAAACTGTGGTAAGTCACTCACTACAAGTATATGAGGATCACTAGTTTTTATATGGAAGATTTGCTTATAAAAGCTCTTGGACATACAGTAATCCCGTCATCAATGTGTATACCTTATATGACAACTGAATGGCATGACACTAAGTGGATGGACAGTTCTACAACATCTGTCTCATATGGCCATGAATGTAGTGAGATATTCACTTTGTCTGCATCTGTGGCACTGACAACGCCCATTGGGGGTAGAGACAGGGGCAGAAGTGACCTGTGGAACTAGGTCTGAAGGGGAACCTGGGAGGTCTCTCTTGCTGGCCAGACACAGACAGGAGAGCATCCGACGGAACCTGCATGTGTTCATTTGTCTATGTTGTAAGTTATTTCTCCATGAATAAACATCTATAAGACCTATTTGTTTATCCTGATCTTTATTAAACCATAATATATGATTAAAATTATGACATCTATTATGCCATTATTTTCTTGTCTTGTTTTTTTTTTTTTTTTTTTTTTTTTTTTTTTTTTTCTTGTCTTGTCCTTAAAGGAATGCTTTGCAAACAGTGATCAGCTACCTGACATTGCAGTACATGGTATTGTGAGAATTTAATAATCATAACAAAGCTATGCTTACTTACACAATTTCTTTTCATTCAAAGTTTAGGGTACATTCACATTTTTCAGATGTACATATGTAATTGCTTGCACATGAAAATTACCTTCCATGTCTTCTAGAACATTGGGAATAGTCTTCAATATTGTGGTCTTCCCATCTGTACCCTAAAATACAGTACCAGAAAAATGTATGTGATATATTACTGGAAATTAGGCACAACATAAATTACTGTCTTTCATGAATCTTAGTACTATGCCTGGTTTATTCATCAGATTCTTCCCCTTGCATATTTGAGATCACAGAAGAGCACAATGTCCAAGAAAAGCTTGTCCCCTTAAGTTAAAAAATGACAGAAAGCTCACATTCTCACCTATGGAAGTGAGGTTCCAGTAGGTTTCCAGCATCACATCTTTGTAGAGACTCTTCTGAGAAGGATCCAGCAAAGCCCACTCTTCATGGGTGAAGGTCACATGCACATCCTCATAGGTCACTGCATCCTAAAGTGTCCCATATATGTTTGTAATTGAAATGGTGAGACTGACAGAAATGCAAGTGTACACTTCATTGAGATTATATTTACATAACTCTGTGTGCTCCATACATTCTGTGACATGGGTGTTGTAGAAAATTACTTTAGTGTATGTGACTTTTGTTTATGCTTCCTTTGTTTAACTCTGTGAAGCTGTGTTACTGTGCCTGTCTAAAACACCTGGTGGTCTAGTAAAGAGCTGAACAGCCAATAGAAAAGACAGGCAGGCTGGTGGGCAGCAAGTGAAACAGGAGGAGAAAAGGAGAAATAAAGAGGATTGAGAAAAGGAAATGAGGACATCAGGGTCCAGCTACCCAGCCATCCAGCCAGCCACAGAGTAAGAGTGAAAGTAAGATATACAGAAGTAAAAAAAAGGAAAATGCCCAAAAGGTAATCAGGATAATTTAAGCTAAGAAAAGCTAGCTAGAAACAAACCAAGCTAAGGCTAGTCATTCATAACAAAGAATAAAACTCTATATGGGATTTATTTGGAATCTGGGTGGCAGGCTACCCCCCCCCAAAAAAAAGAGCCAGAAAAGTAAAAATAACAACCAAAAATAACACATGGGTCAGGAAATCTCATTTTAAAAGGAAACAAAAAAGAGAATGACACCTTCCATTCCTCTGCCCACCTAATAGAATATGTAATGTAAGGAAAAATGCCTAGCAATATATACAGAGAGACATGCAAACACATTAACACTATTTAGTATATTTCAGCAAAATCATATCCAAATTATTAACTTCAAAAAATGGATAGAAATTTTTCTGAACTCTAATTCCGAACATCAAGTGGTAACAACAGGTGAAACTCTGATTTCTAAGCCACCCTGCTCTATGTAGAGATTTCCAGAACAGCCAAAGGTACATAGTGAGACCTTATCTCAAACAAAAAAATAGAAAGCATTCGGGACTCACTCAAAATTCCTCCACAGAGTTAAACATATACTTCAGTTCTATACTTGTTTATCATTAACTGAGGTGACCCCTATTGAAATGTAAGGCTAACAATTCCCAGGAAGGAAAGTATTTTTGAGAAATTACTGATAGATCAATTAGTTCTCAAGAAACGCTGATCTTGTTTGTACAAATAAAGTGTGTCTGAAGATCAGTGGGTGAGACTTACCAATAGCTAACAGACAGACAGAAAGTGAGATCGCTTGGTGGAAACAGGAAATGAGATGGTAGGGAGGAGAATGGATTATAGGTGGGAGGAAACAGGAACTCGCTCTCTTTTCAGCTGGGAAGTTGGTGAGTTAAGGTGTGGCTGTGGCTTGCTCCTTCATCTCTCTGATCTTTCACCTTTTACCCCTATATCTGACTCCAGGCTTTTACTATTAGAACTCATGTTACAGACTGACACACACATAAAGGTACAAATTCATTAAAAAGCTATTTTGAGGCCACTGGCCCAGGCCTAGAACTGAGCTGCCTGGGTCCCTGCCGGCCAGCTAAATTTTCTTTTGTTTTGTTTTTTTTTCCCCAAATCTTTGAGCAACTGTGAGAATTTTCCATTGGAGTTTTTCTGAACAGTATTCAGCTGCAACCCAAACTCTGGCAGCAGCTTTGCACTCAGGCAAATAACCACCACAGCCGTTTCTTCTTAAAACTCCCATGTGCATTTTTCAGCCAGCCAGTGCCAGTGCTTTCTCTCTCTGTCTCTTTCTCTCCCCCCCCCCCCATGGCTTTCTGGATTTCCCTACAGCCCCTTTTCTTGGGCTGCTATTCTCAGCTCACAGCCACATGCTACACCTCACATGTCACTGGCATTGTTAGAAGATTTGGTAGGTCTATTGGGAATTCTTAAAGGAATGAATTAATTTTAAAAGTTTTTTTTTCTCACATTAAAAATGAGAAACATAGTGGGGTGTTGAAGTCACCAACTATTTGTATGAGGGGGGTTGATGTGTGATTTAAACTTTACTAATGTTTCTTTTATAGAAGTGGGTGCCCTTGTATTTGGGGAATATATGTTCAGGATTGAGACTTCTTCTTGATGGATTTTTCCTGTGATGAATATGAAATGTCCATCATCTCTTTTGATTACCTTTAGTTTTAAGTCCATTTTTTAAGATATTAGGATAGCTACACCAGCTTGCTTCTAAGATCTATTTGATTGGAAAGCCTTTTCCCAACCCTTTACTCTAAGGATCTGTCTGTCTTTGAAATTGAAGTATGTTTCTTGTATGCAGCAGAAGGATGGATCCTGTTTTCATATCCATGCTGTTAGCCTCTCACTTTTTATAGGTGAGTTGAGTCCACTGCTATTAAGGGATATGAGTGCCCAGTGGCTACTGATTCCTGTTAATTTTTGGTGGTGGTGTGTTTCCTTTTTTAAGGATGTGCCAGTCTGGGATTATCTATTGCCTGTGCTTTCCTAGGTACCTCTAACCTCCTTGAGTTGGAGTTTTCCTTCTACAGTGCTTTCTGTAGGACTGGATTTGTGGATATGTAGTGTTTAAATCTGAGTGAGGTAACCCACAGTCAGAAAGACAAAATTGGTTTGTATTCACTCATAAGCAGATATTAGATATAAAGCAAAAGACAATTAGACTACATTGCACAACTCCAGAGAAGCTAGGTGACAAGGATGACCAAAAGAGGGACATATGGATCATCCTGGAAAATTAGATGAGATCTATGGGGTAAACTTGGGGGGGCACTTTTGAGGGAGGGAGGGGAATGAGAACATGAGGGAATAGGATGGTCAGGGGAGGGAGGGATGCAATGGAATAGCAATGAAAGAGATACCTTAATAGAAAGAACCATTATGGGCTAAGGGAGAAACCTGGTGCTAGGATAACTCCTGAGAATCCCAAAGAAGGACCCCTGCAAAGACTCCTAGCAATAGTGGAGAGTATATCCCAACTTCCCTACTCCTGTAACTACCATCATAGAGCCTTCATCCAGTAATTAATGGAACCAGAAGAAGAGATCCACAACTGATTGGGTTTTTATTATTAAGGCCTATTATAACTCATGTTACACTGATCCTAAAACAATAAAACAAACAACAAAAGGGATGGAGTATATAAATAAAGACAGGTCAACATCTTTTGAAGATGTCCTAGATCACTCACTGAAGGTTAGCAACTATTCCTAACTCCACATCAAAAAAATTCAATCCTCTCTTCTGACTTCGGTAAATACAAGGAAGACAAGTGTGATTTGAGATGTCCTTTAAAAAAATTTTTTTTTAATTATGTATACATTGTTTTGTCTGTATGTATGCCTGCAGGCCAGAGGAGGGCACCAGATCTCATTACAGATGGTTGTGAGCCACCACATGGTTGCTGGGAATTGAACTCAGGACCTCTGGAAGAGCAGCCAGTGCTCTTATCCTCTGAGCCATCTCTCCAGCCCCGAGATGTCCTTTTTATGCTGGGAATGTGTGTTGCTTTTATTGGTTTAGGAATAAGACTACTTTGGCTTATGTCAGAGCAGAATATAGCTAGGCAGGAAATCAAAGTAGAGAGACAGTGAGAAAGAAGGCCGAATTGAAATACAGATACCAACAGCTGTGGGAGAAAGATGTCTAAGCATCATTGGTAAGCCACGGGTCACATGTCAATATACAGATTAATAGATATGGGTTAATTTATAAGTAAGAGCTAGCCAGTAATAAGCTAAGCCATTGGTGAAACAATTATAATTAATATTAATCCTCTGAGTGATTATTTTATAAGCAGCTGCATGCCTGGTAGGTATGACAGAAAAGCTTAGCTACATTTAGTATACCAACATAGGCCTCTTGAATTTTCATAAGGACTATAAAAGCTTTAAAAAGAGCTTCTCAACACACAATATAGGAGGCAAAAACAGCTTCCTAGTTGTGTCTCTCATGTGGGCCACAGTACAGAGACACCATGACATTTGAGACTGAACACACAATGATGGATTCCTGCCACAGTACACAGAGGCATCTCAAAGCCACACAGCATGCTGCATGGCAGGTTTAGCTTTTGCTCATACAGACAAAAAAGGCTAAAAGACACACAATAAAAAAAAAGTACACACATAAAAACCTTTAAACAGGTTCTAATATGTTTTACAATGTGTGTAGGCTTAATCCCAGCACTCAGGAGACAAAGCCAGGCAGATCTCTGTAAGTTCGAGACCGGCCTGATCTACAGAGTGAGTTTCAGGACATCCTCCAAAGCCACAAAGAATCCCTGTCTCAAAAAAAAAAAAAAACAAAGATGGGAAATACACAGGGAATCTGGATCCTTGTATTGATGTGTTGATTTTAAATTTTTTGATTGCTGAAAAACAAAAGACAGCTGCTAAGAGACCTAGAATTGAAAGAGAGACTGATAAAAGATACCAACCTAAATATTTTTTAAATGCCTTCACTTTAAAAGTCAATCAATATATTTGTAAAATGGAATTTAAAAGATGCATTGCTTTGGAGAAGTGGTTTTGCTTTTGTTTCCACAGGAAACAAGAAGCTATGAAATCATTCTAGGATGGACCAGATTTGGTCAAGGGAAAGAGACCTCCTGATCCTTGACAGGTGATAACTGTCTACAAAGGTTATACCTGGTCTTTCTAGGACATGTCAATTACCTCAAATTTCCTCAGGGTCCATAAAGATACTTTGTCCACAGACAGCAGGAAGCAGTTTGGAGATGGGGGACATTGATGATCTTTGTTTATTTGGTGGGCTATGGATGTTTGTTATATTTAGGGGAATATAAAAATATAGGATAAAAAGAGAGCTCTTAATCTCAGATTTGTTGCATTGACATGGATTTTGGTATAGTGATATCAATTTAAAGTTAATTTTATTATACTGAAAATGTTCTGATCTTATTTAAAGGACTTTTGTATACTGATAAAAATTTAAGGTTATTTTTGTTACAACATATTGTATGTATGTTTCTATTTTTGTTTGAGGTACTATGCATATGCAGTTCATTTGAAAATGTAGGGTGAAATTCTAGTTTTTAAAAACTATCATTATAAACTATATAGGATAATCAGAAGACATAGGTTAATGGTTAGTAATTTGTAACAATCAAAATTATAGATATGTTAGGTATGCTTTCCAGATCATACAGAGATATACTTCAGATAGATAAGTA